TAATAATTTTCACCCATGACAGAATTATGTATATGTCTTTGGCCATAAATTTTACTGAATAATTAAAATTACTGAATTAAATTAATTTTTTATTATTATGTGATTAGATTATTAAATTTATAATATTAAATTAAAATCATGACCAAATTAATAGAATATATAAGTAATATAGACTAAATATATAGTTGTGCCGATTTTGAACTACCACATCAACTCCTCTTCAAATGTTAACAACGAGTGACTTAATTTATTTTGGGTATAACTGTTGGTATCCGATCTATTGATCGATTAATCCGGATCAGATACTACATAGGCAAAGACGACCCTTCCAACCCTGTTTACTCCATTCATAATGGTCGGGATTCGAACCCCCTAATTTTATTTAAGAGATTTAGTGTCTCATCCCATTAGACCAACCGATTGTTGGTAACGAGTGACTTAATTAATATAATTTAAATCTGAATAAAAAATTTATAACTCAATAGTTAAATTAGAATCGCTCCATAATCAAGTGACCATTTATGTAGTTCATCCTAAAAATAAAACAACTCTTAAAACTATTTGTACTTTATGAAATAATGTACTTAAATATATAAATTATTACTCACTCTGTCTCATAATTTGTGTCTTATATTGACTGTGCACATAGTTTTAAGAGGTATATTTGATTAAAAGAAATAATTAAATTATCCCTAAAAGATAATTGGTAGATCTGATTAATTTAATAGGGTACAAAGTGAGACATATAAAAGTAAAAAATATATAATTTGTTATTATTTGTTAACTTTTTTAATATAACATTTTAAATGAAATAATTTTAAAATCTAAAATACATTTTTAATAGTACTGAGAGAGTATTTTATTTTCTTTTTATTTATTGAATAAAATTGATTTGCACCACTATTTTCATGAAAAGATACACATACAAGTGTTTTCTCATCCTTTATAAAAAATGTTTGGGCAAAGTACAAGTTTAGTACCATAAGTATTATTTTTGTTCTGTTTTGGTCACTCAACTATTTTTTGTTTCAAAATTATACATAACGTTTAGTTTTGGTTTTATTTTGGTCACCCCTCGTTAAATAATTAACAAAACTGATGACATGCCATTTTTTATTTTGAATGATGATCTGGTATTATCTTATGGTGACACATCAGCATCAATGTTGATTTTTTAACGACGAGTGACCAAAATGAAACCAAAACTAGACATTAAGTATGATTTTGAAACAAAAAATAGTTAGGTGACCAAAACAAAACAAAAATTATAGTTGGGATGCATAGTTTACCCTAAGTTTTTTCACTAAATACTATGTTTTGTCCAACATTCAAAGTGAATCTTACTACACAAAAAGAAACCTTTTATATATGATAGATGAAAAACAGTCTCATCCTTTTACACGAATAAGGACTCTATCAAACATGAGGAACTGAAGCTCTTCTTGAGTTATACACCATACATGAGAGACCTTAGTGGGCTGGACGATGAGGGTACGGGTCAGGACCTCCATTATTATTTCTAGATATATTTGATCTCGAGGTAAGTTATGATGACAACTCATAAGTTGGCAATACGAATGCATGTGACCACCTTATAGTAGATTTGGTTATGTTAAGACCACATCTAAAAAGTCTACAACTTTTTAAGAATTGTGAGTTTTTAAGACCTCGGTATCAAGAGACGTTCCTATGAGAGCTTTAACTAGGAGAAAGGTCTACTAGAGGTTTTGGTAGGTGGATAAGTAGCAATGAAGACGAGTCTCGTAAAGGAGATTTAGATGAAGTACAATATTTGTCCCCTCCTTAATCGAGGGAATGTTATAAAGTGGTTTGACCTAAGATTTGCGTGTTGAGATGTGTCTTACATTCAATGAGTTATTTTTTTTAAAAGTAGGTATGATTATTGTTTTTTTTAAGGATTGGGGGTTACTCATGTCTCTCTTTACGATTGACGTAGTCAAAAGACATGATATTTCAACTGTAGAAGAGATATCATGTCTTAAGCTATTTAAGAAAATTAGGATGAAATCCCTAACTACTCCCCCATGATCCAAGTTCTTACCCGAAAAAGAAAGAAAAATAGAGCAAATAGATAAATAAAGTTACCTTCCATTCCAAATTTTGGGGAGAAAAGTAATTTTTTACAAGCAAAGTTGGGGTTTTTATAACCCAATATGTAAAACAAACCTACTGTTATATTAATATTTTAATAACAAAATAATAATAATAATAATGCAAAAATGAAAAAAAAAGTGGTGATTTATTGGGACAAAAATTGGTGATTACACTTACAAATTATCGGATATTTATAATGGAAATATCTGAATTTGCAGATCGGGTATCTTACCCAATTTTTTATGGGTTTCTCAATTGAGTCCGAATCATAAAATTTTCCTCAACTAGGTACTAACTATCTGGTTCTCTATATTTTTTATTTTTATTTTATCTTAGATTTTTCATTCATGATTCCCAAATTATTTTATCAAAACATTATAATTTCCTAATTTCTTAAATTATTTCACCTAACATTTTAAATTCTTAATTTCTTAAACTATTTCACCTAACCTTCTAAATTTTTTTCTCAAATTATTTCTTTTAACTTCAAAATATTTTCAATTTAGTTGTATTTCTTTAATTATGTTTTTAGATTTTTACATTATATTTTCGGCGATAACGGTTTCGGACACCGCCGCGACCACGATATAACAACCGCGATTCCGCTATTCGGCCGCTATTTGAAACCCTGGCTATTATTAAAGTTACCTACATGAGAGGTAGTTGGCCCTCTCTCTTCCATCATAGTATGGACGCCTTGTATATGTTATGAAGCTTCATCATCGCAATTTGAAGACGTTTCTTCTTTCAAACTATCGTGTCCAAATCATGTATGAAACTGGGGTTAGATTCTTGTGTCTTAGCCAAATACGTTCCCTTTCCCTGTCTATATTGTCTTCTGATTCTTTCTTCTTTGTGTTTTCTTGCAAAGTTCTGTCAGTTTCCGGTAGTCTGAAAATTTCCTGCAAAATTTATTACCCCTATCAGCTACGGACTGGAGGATGGTAGAGGCTGCACAAGCAGGAACCATTAACGTCTTGTATGAGTTAATTCAAAAAGATCCATACGTTCTAGAGCGTATATGAAGAGAAAATCAACAAAATCTTTGCCGGCTTCGGCTAATAGAACTCTTTGCTCTTCTCTATCGATCAGAAGCTTCAAGCTCACTGTGGTGGCCACTGATTGAAATTACTAACGGATATGTACGGTGCTGCTTCCTCTATATATGATAGGGTTTCTAATACGAATCCTCTGTCCCTTCCACGTTTTCAATAAAGTTTATCATCTTAATCTTTACCCCAATCAACTTTTTATTGAGAACAACTCTACAGTTGTATTAGTTGTTGTAATATGAGAGAGAGACGACAAATGATCTCTTATACTAAAGAATGATCAAAATATGTCTTAAGAAAATTGTGTGTAGCGATAATTCTCAACTTTTTAAGTTTCGTTGAGGTTTTCGATGTTCTCGTAGAGGTTTCCAAGGGAATCTGCCATGGAATACATCGATAAGCACCGTCTTAGACTGCAACGATGCCTTCAGTAACTCTAAACCCTAAAACAAAGAAACAACACACAAACATGTGTAAACCTGTATCCAACTTTATAACTTGAAACGGGATAAATCCAAGCAAGGCCGTGGCAGAGTTTTCGGGGGTCCTGTACAAATTCGTATAAAGGGGTCCCTATTTTCTAGATATATTCGATTTCGGGGCAATAATAGTGGCGTTTTCTTGACAAATGCCGCAATAAATCCATCTATAATGGCGTTTTATCAATAAAGCCGCAATAATAGTGGCGTTTTTTTGAAAAAACGTCGCAATAGGTCTATCTATAGTGGCGTTTATTGATAAAACGCCACTATATATTTTTTTGGGGCCCATTTTTTGGGGGGCCCTGCGCGGTCGCGCAGTTTGCGCCCCCCAGCCACGTCCCTAAATCCAAGCATACCTCATCAATACCAACATTTACCACTCTCTCCTCCAATGCACCGACATGTTTTACTTCAAACAAATTCAACTTGACGATGCTCGAAATTATCGACGTCGCGTGACCGTCAGATCATCCGTGACTTTGTAAGTAACCACATCTCTCAGGTAACTGATCTCATTCGCCGTATTCGACGACGACGATGTCCGAACCTTCTTTACCGGGCTCACGAATATTGCGGGGTGGTTCATGACCCTAAAGCATGAAAGGCAATTCGCTTTTGAATCGCTTGTATAATACAAACCACAATCGGAATCATAAGTATATCCAATACGACTACTCGAACATCGATATAGTCCTTCCCGCGTCGATGATTGAATGTTCGGCAACAAGAGCGGAGCATCACCGGTTGCCTGACTCGGAGAAGATTTAGGTTTGAGCAAGGATTCCTTGTTTGCAGCCTTACAACAGTTCCGGTTGGATTTCTCCTATATAAATCCTTGGTCAACTACACGGGTGACCACTCAACTATTGCTCTTTTTTATTTTGACCACTTATATATACTTCAATCTCGTTTATTAGATCATCCAACTATTTATATGGTTCAATCAATTCACCCACCGTTAAAATTTAGTGGAGAGAATGACGCGACAATTAAAAGTTTTAGTATAATTACACATTTTATCCCTATTACTTATATATTATATCAATGATACATAACACAATCTAATTTGAGGGTTGAATTTATTTTAATTTATAAAATTCAGACCAAACCGATAGAATATACAAATAACATAGATTAAATGTGTAATTATATAAAACAATTTAACTGTCACGTCATCCTCTCCGTTAAATTTTAGCAGCAGGTGACTTTATTGAACCATTTAAATAGTCGAATGGTCTCATTGACGAAATCAAAATATCGGTGATCGAAATAAAAGGGAGCAATAGTAGAATGGTCACCAGTGTAATTTATTTTAAGCATGGTGCATTGGTACATTTATCTACATGTTGGAGAAGACTGATATGGAGAAGTTGCAGACATGTCGGAGCTTGCATACTGGAGATGATAACCGGTTCGGCATACCGGGAATGTTCTTGCAGCCGCAGGTATAAGCTGATGATCGCAACATCGAACCGAGATTGCGTAATACGAAGTGGACGGCTGTGGATTATTCGAAAATGCTCTAGGTGAAAAGGGAATTGTATTTCAACATATATAAAGAGCAGATACTAGCAGCTTTGGATAAACTATAACAACCTCACAAGTAAGCAAATAGAAGTTATTGCCAATAGCATGATCCCGGACCACCTGGATCTTGTCGAGCATAATAATTCTCGACCGGAGACGCTTGAACCCCGCGCCTGTTCAATAGGCATCGGAAGTAATGTAACCGATGCAGTATGGTATCATTTCCTGCAGATAATGCCTTTTCCGTGCTCCACAAGCGTTCTATCGGAAGACGAAAAGGAAACAATGTGAGGGTGTATCCCGAATGCAACATAAATTTCGGTAATAATACGAAAACGATGTCAAAATACCTGCTGCTGCTGCAGCTCGAGGCCATATCGTTTGCTGAACATTCGATGTATCAACTGTCTCGCCCCACATACAAACTTCTCCTCCGATAACGAGTTCTTTCTTGGACTCGTTACTTATTCCTTCCAGTGGCTCGGCATGGTACACTTCCTCCCAACTGACGTCGAGATGGTCGAGATACCAAACACGTTGGTTGCTGAAAATGCATTTGAATCCTTTCGCCACAGCCTTCGGACAAACCCCGGGGCCCAACCTACCACAGCAGCACATAAAATCGTTCATGCTCGGAATACTATGCAACAACATCTGTTGTATGAGAACCTTTTTCGGTCGAAACTTACAGATTAACAAATAACACTCACCAGTTATGCACCACCGTTCGAGGATTAAGACTCTTCGCAAAAGCGTTGAAGGTCTCTTCCCTGAGATTAAGAACATCCAGATTCCTCAGTTGTTCTATACATTAACAGCAATTTTAGAGCATGGATGAAGATGTACCAGTTGACAGGGGTCCAGCTTTTCGAGATTGCAATTTCTTGAGCCTTGAGTACGAAATATTTATACGCATCCTTAGGCTCCATCTTCTTATCGTCGAGCCTGCAATTTTCCTCAGCAGATTAATGGTTTATAAGATGGCACAACTTGTCCCGATCTATTTATCGGTTACTTAAAAGATCACAAATCATCATATATGCAGTAAACGTTGATCAACTCGAAGATTAAAGCATGTACCACTGCTTTACATGGGGTGTTTTGTTCCAGCAATCTGTTAAAACAAAAAAAGTCCATAGAACTATTTAAGAAAATAAGTCTGATATCGAAAAATCGAACTGTTCATTCAACATTTTTAAACATACAATAGAGATATCGTGGTTAATCGCTAAAATGCCGTGCCACCGATGAGGACAGAGACACCAATGAATCTATCCATCTAAAAGTTCAAAGAAAAAGGAGACTCTGAATGTTCTTAATGACTTTACAAGCACTTATATATATGTTCCGATTTATTTTCCCCTCTCCTCTCGTATTTGTATCATTATACTGTACTTTCGCACACATGGATGCAAAGGCGATATGTTCCGAACAATAGCATATAGCGCTCGAAATCAAAATGAGAAAATCGGTGAAAAATATGCTTTCAACCTGAAATGTAGGGCTTCTGCATGTTTAAACTAAGCGATGACAAATAGAAAGCTCCACCAACCTGTATTAACCTCATCGCCACCCAGGTGGAAGAGCTCGAACGGGAAAATATTTCGGATCTCTGTAAAAGATAAACTCAGATAAAATACCATTAGCACTTGTCAGAGCATCTGTAGGGTAGGACAGGCGGTAGATATCGAAAACTTTCTCAAATTCATATTATTCTAATTCAAAGAAGTACAAAGAATGAATTCCCTTCAGTTTTCATAGTATTTGGATCATATTTTGGCAATTAGTTTCGGAAAAAAAGGAACTTAACAGAAAGAAAGTGTTTCAGATTATCAAGATTCAGCATGGAGTTGTTCTTATTTAGAGGATGCAAGACCTGCAATTGGATCGAGACCGAAATTTATATCACCGAACTCCTTTAAAGTCGTGCTGCATAATATGATTCTAGTTGGTTAACTAGATATGTTGACAGTTGACAACAACATTGTTTCGCAAACACATTTAACTTCCGAATCCATTGGCATCTCTAGTTACACTCGAACATTCTTTTATCGTTTTTTTCACTAAAACGAGGCCCAAAGAAGAAGCTTACATGCTCAAAAAAGTTAACCATGGAAATTTTGTTCCAAACAAAATGTAAAGTTTCTAATTGACTCCGGTAAAGATCCTTAAGATTCAACCACGGACTGCAATTTCTACAAATCGGGAAACTGAAAATCCAGCCATCTAAGCTTAAGCGGAACCAACCTAATCGATGATCAACCAACTTGCTTTGTTAAGATTTACACCATAACAATAAGTGTAAACATCATAACTCTTGTGATGAGCATGTTGAAATTCACTCTTGATCCTTGAAACTAGAACGGTTGCAGAAAATGACTTGTATGACAAAGGGAAAGGTTTTCGTGGAGCTTTACCTGACAGAATCCCAGAAATCAATTCAAAAGTAAAATTTTTCGTAACATCGAGTGGTTCTCTGCAGGAAGTATGGGGCCATAGATCAGGATAGCCAGCTCCCCTAATGAAAAAAAAAGGTCAGTTTTGTCGCACATATTTCGATAAAACAGAAATGGATTGTTAGCCAAGAAACTCTTTCTCACTGCAAGATTATGAAAAAAGATTTCAACTGCTACACGATGAATTTTACAAACGGATAAACTCGGGGGAAAAGGTTCCACGAACGAGTCTGCCAATAGGATAATATCATGTCAGCCGAAGACAATAAATGGCAAAAGAAAGCACCTTACCATGACTCTGCGTGACCAGGGACATCCACTTCTGCCATTACATGGATGCCTTCAATACACCATGCCAAATAATAAGAAAATTTATCCAACAGCATATGGCACGACACTCGTACATGCTCATGTCATTATTTTTATGAAATTGCACCATGTTTTTACCATTAAGTCACGTCTAAGTTACGCAAAATTTAGTTTTAAGTGTCGGATAAACTTGAAAGATCAATCTCACCTCTCGTTTTGGCAAATCTTCACGTTGGCACATGAAAATAAGAAATAGAATGCACCAATTAGGCCATGTCTATGTAAGAAGAATAAATGCCGAAAAAAGAACTTCAGAAAGGAAAAACGAAACAACAAGAAGCAACAAACAGTGAAGCATAGATATATAGAGCCGATAAACAATAACTCTAAATTGCTGCAGTACAGAAGACAATAATTTTATTCGTGGAAAGCATTCTACTTTGTCTATTTTTCTCGAAAAGGCTAAATCTATTGTTATCGTTCGCTTCTTTTAGTGCTAGTGCCTTACAACATGGTTCCTTTTAACCACTTTAATCGAAGCTGACAACATAACAATAACACTTCCCTGCAGTTTTCAAACATATAGTTCGAGATATTTTCTTTGATTAATACACTGAATTTAATCTGTTCAAAGTTCATAGGACAGAAGACGTCGATTTTCGACAGCTTTTGCAATTGATTTTCAATTTGGGGGATGGACATAAACAGCATAAAAACCAATAGAGCTTATAAGTTTTGTAGGAGAGAAATTATCTCAGATTTATACAATCGTACCTAACAATTTGACGCACATCCTCAACAGTATATCGCTCCCATTTTGAGTAAGCACCATTCCACAGTTTTGGATAAGAAGGTACCTCGAGAGGAAACGCCTGGCCATCTATGATGTGCCAATGAAGAACATTCTACTGAATTGAATGTAAAAGATCCAGAGAAATAAAGACACCATTATAATCTTGCAAGGACTCAAATGAATTCCATCTGCGATATTCCAGACTGACAAAAAATAGGGGCTAGTAACATTTCTTACGAGTTTAGCATAAGACATGGATTCCATTATCGACTTAATGACATCAACCGGAAAATGGTGCCTTGATGTGTCTGTAACAGATTGCATATTCAATAGTGTCAACTTCTATTCTATAGGTTGTTACGTAAAAGAAGTAAAATCGGTAACTTTTTGGCTACAAATACAAGAGAGGCTTACCGAGCAAAAGCCCACGATATGCAAACCTCGGTTTATCTTTGATGTACCACGGGGCTCTGAATATTTGCACTGATTTAGATGTATAATCAAAAGCACACAATTGGCTGAATGTCTGGAATATTATAAAAGAGAAGAATGAGGGACGAGACATCATAGGATTCCTATCCAATGAATCACAAGATATGTATTTGCTTTAAAGAGCGGCAAAAGATAAAAGACAGTCATAAACATCGGCAATAAACAAGAATGGTCGTATAGAGACGTTTTAAGAAGAATATAGAGCCTTTGAACCATTTACAGGTATGCTTTTGACTCCTTAACTTGTAAATCCGAACAATACCCTCAATCATTACATACACATACAATGTATCATGTAATAACCAGTTCAGTTTTCGAGTAAATGATTGACCGCATACCTCCAACGCTCTTAACGCACCGTAAATGGTACTTGCCTGCCAAAAAGAAGGAAGAGAGACGTGAATATCAGCCATCGTCACACTTTTATTTAATGCAAACTGAACTTCAGAAACAGTTTTCATACTACATTTACTCTATAGATACGAATTTTACACTTGAAAATTGAAAAAAAGGTTCAAAACCAAGCATTCGCAAACATTATCCCGGTCATGGGGGGATCACAGTCGATAAGCCAATGCACATCAATAGAATGCATGCATAACTGTTATTCAATCATTTCATAAGGTTAATTCAAATCAAAAACATTAATCAAGCTAAGAATATCTTGATCACTTACTCACTCCTAGGAGTTCCAATAAACTAGTTCCACAAGACTTTAAGCAATAAGCACCGATAATCGAAAATTAGCGACACATAAAACAAAATTGCAGCATAATCAATCCAAAACTAAGAATCAGTTATAAAAAACTAACAAGTATCAAACTTTACCTCAATTGTAGTCTCCCAAGCAATAGACTTCCCTTCACCCTTTTGGATGAACAAAGTATAACTCTCATCCACACCCAACTTGAGCTGCCATAATTAGACCGAAACAAGCATAAAAAAAAGACAAACCCTTAATCAATTTACAGGAAAAAGGGGTTTCCAACTTACCTCATCACTATCTGAATTCACAATGATCCTCAATTCACTAATATCGAATATCGATCTTATCCGTCTCGAATTCTTCGAAACCGGAACCCCATAAGTAAAACTAAATATAATCTTCTTGTATCTCCTAAACCCTTCCCTCAAAATCTTGAAGTTCCCTCCACGTCCAATGATAGACAAAGACAGAGCTGGGTTCACAGTCAAAGTTTCATTGCCTGAGGTAAGCTCATACGGCAATGGCCATATGTATGTCAATGACCGATTCAGATGAAACCCTGAATTTACCCCAAACCCATGATTTAAACCCAGAAGCTGAAAACCCCAAACTAAGAACATCAAGCAACTGCATCCGAAATGGGGTTTTTCACACAAATGCAACATTTTTGTTCTTTTTTTTCTCTTTTTTCAAGACTGAATTTTTATTTTCTTTCACACAGATTCAGGGGAGAAGGGTTGGGATTTGCTTTACATGTTTCTGTTTTTATAGTTAATGGCCCAGAGTAGATCTCGGAACACTATATTTGTGTCCGATTCGTGTACGCGTCATTGTGTGACTCGTGAGATGTTTTCATATGATGCAATATTTTATTTTTTGGTCAAATTTGGTTTTGACTCTTTTATTATGGTAAGATTTGAGATTTAGTCCATCAATTTTAATTTGATGTAATATTTTTTAAAGTTTAATTTGAAAGATAATCTAAATAATTTTAAATTGGCATAATAACAAATTAGCCTCTTACATTTTTACAAATAATTATTTTATTTTTATTTATTTTAATATTTTATGATAATTACAAGATAATATATATATTCATAATTTTTCTAAGTCATTGACAATGCACACACACCGGACACAGTTATTCAAACACGACCTGAAAGAGAACAACACTCCCTTCAACCACTGAAGTCACTCAACGGGTTCACCCGTTATTCTTTTTCTTAGCGTCCCAACCCTTAATTTTTTATTTATTTTTTGTCAAAATAACTTTTGTAGGATGAAAATCATTAATTGATTAACAATCAACACACAAGTGTTTAATTGATGATATGCATGTATCATGTCAATAAAGTGATGATGTAACTAGTGTTATGTCACTAAAGTAATAATGTCGTGTGTCATGTTATCTAAAGTGACGGTAAGTTATATATTATGTCACCTAAAACAATGTATGGCATATAAAATGTCACCCAAAATGATAGCGTGTAAATATTATTTATTTATTTTAATAAAAATATAATTTTATGTAACTAATGTTATTTTTAAAAATATATTAAATAATTATAGGTGGAGTTTAGGGATGGCAACAAGTTAGATTGGGTTAAGTTTTTTGTCAAACTGGCCTGAAAAATATAATCATTCTATCTGATTTCCACCCGACTCGAATTTTAAGAGTATAAATATAATTTGATTCGACTAATATAAAATAAGACTTAATTAAAAATAAATAGAGAGATGGGGTATTAAAAAATCGGGGTCGGGTCTGATTCGGGTTTAGGATGAAAAATACCCGACCTGAAAAAAATATAATTTTACCTTATATATTTAGGAATAATTACAATAATACCCCTCTATATATTATTTTTTCTAATTAAATCACTGTTTTTATTTAATAAAAATAATATTTTATTATTATTATTTCGGGTCGGGTCGGGTGGAAGGTATATATTTTTCGGGTCGGGTCAGGTCGGTGAAGGATATAAAATTTTCGGGTCCGGTCGGGTTGGCCCAAACCTGACCCATACCCATCCCTAGTGCCAGCAGCCGCGATAAGACGGGGGGCAAGTGTTCTTCGGAATGACTGGCCGTAAAGGGCATGTAGGCAGTGAATCGGGCGTAAGCATTAGGATCCACTTATCTAGCGTAAATTTTTTAGTTTTACACATTTTAGAATACTTAGATGAAGGAAAATCAAAGGTTGAGATTAACTTATTTTTTCATTGAATATCTTTTCATTTTCTACTATTAATCTGAACCTTTGATTTTTCTTCGTCTAATTATCCTAAAAAGGTAACAAAAAAAATTAGTTTTACTCTAAACTCAGAACAATATTGAATCTTGTCAAATGATGGACTCAACGATTAAAAGAATTTCATGCTAGTGAAAAAATATTTTTTAAAATATAACAAATTGATAATATAAGTGATTAAAATGCATTTTTTAAAAAATAGATGATCAAAATTGAAATATTAAAATAAAAGGGACCCAATCTTATAATTTACCTAAATATTATAAAAAGAAATGTTTAACTAATATATTATTTGTATTAAATTCAGATTTTTTATCTAAATTTGTAGTCTAAGTACTTATCTTTAAAATCGCGCAATTAAATTATCAAGTGATATTTATTTTCATTTAATTCGATTTTAACAAATACCTTTAATTCAATTTTTAAAAAAATTATTTCAAATTTAAAAAATAAAATTATATTTTAAAAACACAAAATTTCTGAAATACTTTGAAAAACCCCCAAAATTTTAAAAAAACCCTCATTTCAATCCCTAAACCCACGTCGGCCAGTACGTTTTGCTGTCGACGAAGCTCCACCTGACCTGACATCCCCCAACAATCAATAACAATATAAAATCGCAACCAATCGACGTTTATACCCGTGAACCTTATGCTGAAAATTACGACCCCACACGATCTTGATGACCAATCAACGACAATTATAGCGACATATGATTAGGAAGATGGTAGGGACTGCGTCGACATCAGTAGTCATGGCCGACAAGGGCGACGTCAGCGAGTTATAGTTAGGGATTTGAGCTTTTTTGTTATTTAAGAAAACTTATGATTTTTTATAAATATAACAACTTTTTTATTATTTTTTTAAAATTATCAGAATGTACGGAGAGATTTAACGGCAGTTATAACGTTAGGTACTTGGATGTTTCAAATTTAGACATCTATTTGGAAAAAAATGTATATTTTAAACACTTATTTTATTATTAAGCCATTTAAAAATTTCAAATGATGAAAAAAATGAATTTTACACACAAAAAATACAAATACTTGAAATATATATTATTTTGCTTGAATAACCTCTTTGCCTTTTATTATTTTTTCTAAGCAATTTAACGTTTAATGTTTTAATTTCGATAAAAAATATTTATTTTGGATGAAAACTGGTAGTTAACGATTAAAGATGTGCATAAGATCCGAACCCGACAGGTTTCGAACTGATCTGACTAAATTGGGTCAGATTTTAAAAAAATGAGGTCGGGTTTGGGAGTAGTGTAACCTTAGTTTAGGTTTTAACCCATTTGACTTTATTTCTTCTCGTAACTTGCTATCGTTGACTACTGTGTATCTTTCTCTTCATGTTTCCTCTTTTTAAATTTAGCCTGGGCTTACGTTTCTGTCTATATGCAGAGATTTTTACGCAGATATTTATTTGCAGGGATTACTTCCCATTATAGACACGCATATGTAGACTGCATATGAAGACTGTTCAACTATGTATTTATTTATTTATTTATACATACATTGTATTTTATATTTTTTTTAATTTTCTGACTGTCGGAGGTCTTCCACGGAAGCTGCTCTCAACCTGACGTTGGGAGCAGCCTACTACCCTACCTCCCCTTACCCCATTACATATGGGAATAAGTTTTTGTTGTTGTTGTTCGGGTTGAGTTTGGGTTTAGGGTGAAAATATTCGACCTAACCCCACCCGATTTTTTTTTAATTTTACCTTATATATTTAAGAATAATTATAATAATACCCCTCGATATATTATTTAAAGTTATGCTCGGGTTGGATTCGGATTTTATCTAAAAAATTAGATCAGATTCGAATTGAGTGAAAGTGATATATTTTCGAGTCGGAGTACCAAAAATTCAACCTACCCATGCTCGTCCCTATTAACGATCAACTATGCAACAACAAACATTCAATAACACAGTGACCAAATATAACAAATCGATAATACACGTGACTAAACCATAATCTTTTTTATTGCGTTCTCAGCTGGGAAACAAATTTTTTATTGTGTGCTCATTGCGAGTGAGTTGATCGATGATCTTCGGCGTAGAAAAGAAAAAGCGATTGTATTCAAAGCCGATTTCAGGAAGGCGTACGATGCTGTAGATTGGGTATTCCTTGACTTCATCTTGGGAAAAATGGGTTTCGGCTCAGATGGAGGAAGTGGATGAAGCTCTGTATTTCCACAGCATCTATGTCGGTCTTGGTTAATGGGTATCCCACCGGAAAATTCAACATCAAGAGAGGCTTAAGGCAGGGCTGCCCCTTATCTCCATTTTTGTTCAATATAGTGGGAGAAGCCTTAAGCGGGTTAATTAAAAAAGCTATCGACAGAAGCTTCATTAAGGGTGTAAGGGTCGGAGGTAGGGAGATGATCATGTCTCATATCCAGTTTGCCGATGATCTGATTTTGTTTATGGATGGTAATAAAGAGTCCATGATAAATACCAAAAGAATCCTCAGAATATTCGAAGCCGTATCGGGTCTCAGCCTTAACCAGAGCAAGTCGAAGCTGTACGGAGTCAAACTGGATGATGAGAGTATTGTTGAATGGGCAGAGATGATTAGGTGTAGGTGGGAGTCTCTTCCTCTCATATATCTCGGTTTACCTATGTACTATCTTTCCTTATTTCAGGTACCGATGAACATTGCCAAGAAACTTAATAGCATCATAGCAACTTCCTATGGGGTTCATCCAGTGGGAGACGTATCCATTGGCTAAGTTGGGATAAGATATGCAGGCCTAAATCACAAGGTGGTCTTGGGACTGGCTAAGTGGGTGTGGAGGTTCGGAACTTAGACTGACAGCTTGTGGGGAAAGTCATGATAGCAAAATACAGATACGACGATGATCGTCTAATTCGCTGTGTTCTTGTGAGAAATTCCTCATGGGAATATAGAATGCAGACGTCCTTTGCTGTCATGGGAAATCCATAGATGGGATACTTTCATTTCTGTTCTGGATAATGCGGCTCAAGGTCAACAATTTCATCACTAGATGCCACCAGAATCACGTGGCTCGGATCTTTTTGGTCTCAAATGATTGATTCATTTTTACACCATCTCGACCGTCCACGTTTCGCTCCCAATTCCCAAATCTGAACTTGACCTCTTTATAAATCTATCCCTTCAACTCACCCACCCAGCTTTCCCGGCATTCAGTCAGTCGACATTACCGAAATACCCTCCTCGTTTCATCTAATTTCCAACCCATGCCCCTTGCTCAAACTGAAATAAGCAAACGGAGTTAGAAAAACGATTCTCGAGTTTTCTTTGGGGTACTGTTTTAGCTTCGGAGCGGTGGAACGGGACAATGGTAGAGACGGTGTGCGTGAAACCGACGAAGAGCTGGCGCTGTTGCCACATCAGAGCAAAGGTGACCGGTCATGGCGGTTGAACTCGATGGTTTCCAGTTATCTCCTGAACAGAGACAAAAAG